TGAGGGCCCCCAGCCGCTCAGGTGTGACTCGTCTTGGTCCTGTGCTGATCCCATCCTCCTACTGCTACTCACCTATCTGTCACTGGGCACATGTTGAGCTATTATTCATGACTTTGGCACCAGCTCCTTTAGGAACAGACATGGCCTCAATCAGTCCCAAAGGAGATCCTGTTACAGGCTGAAATGTGTTCCCCCACAATCCAGATGTGTTGAGATCCTGACCCCCATACCTTAGAATTTGATTGTATTTGGACACAGGGCCTTTACAGGGGTAATTAAGGTGAAATGAGGTCATCGAAGTAGGCTTTTGTCCATTATGACTGCTGTCCTTATAAGAAAAAGATTAAGACACAGAGGCACAGAGGGAAGACCATGTGAAGATACAGGGGAAAGCTGGTCATCGGCCAGCCAGAAAGAGGGGCCTCAAAAGAAATGAACTCTTGACAGCTGACCTCAGACACACTGCTGACATCTTGATCTCAGACTTCACCTTCCAGGACTATGAGAGAATAAATGTCTGTGTTCCAGCCGGCCAGTCAGTGGAACTTTATAATGGTACGTGAGCAGGTGAAAACTGTCCACACTGCACCCTCCACAGCAGGCCCCTTAGCCCATGGCTGGTCCCGGTGTAGACCCATGAGCACATTCACCATGATGTGCAACACACCCTTTCAAGCTCTGTGACCCCCTGGGAGCCCAAAGGAACTTCTCATGCCATTCAGAGTCATCCCCCTTGCCCTGACCCCGCTCCCACTTTCTATGGGGCAGTCCCCCTCCAAATGCTAAACACACCAAGGAAAACAGATCTCTTGCAGCCCTGGGTCTTAAACATGAGGGCAGTGTCCATCCGGCCACCATGGAACTCAGAGTGGAATGTGAAGGCTTCTCTCACCCCCCCGACCCCCTGGTGCTCTCCAATTATCCTCTTCTCAGCCCACAGCTCAGGCTGCTTCTCCCAGGGAGGGTGGGAGCACTGATTCTTGCCGTGTGCATCTCGGTCTTCCTGCCTTTCACCTGAACCCTCGGCTCTTCCACCTGGAATCTGACAGCTGAGCCTCTTGGACTGACAACTTCCCCTTGGGGTAAAGGTGACCCCGTGACCTCCCATCCAGACTGGACATGGTTAGTAGACAAGGGGGAGGAAAAGTCAGGCCAGGTAACAGATCTCAAATGACCATTCTGCTCACAGAGCTGCCCACACACCCCATGACCTTGCTTCCTATAGGACACAGTCACATGCAGTTTGAAGAACCAGGGGCTAGATGAGGTGGCTCATGCCTGTAATCTCAGCACTTTGGGAGGCCGAAGCAGGTGGATCACGAGGTCAGGAGTTCAAGATCAGCCTGACCAAGATAGTGAAACCCCATCTCTACTAAAAATACAAAAATTAGCCAGGCATGGTGGCGGGTGCCTATAATCCCAGCTACTTGGGAGACTGAGGCAGAGAACTGCTTGAACCTGGGAAGCAGAGGCTGCAGTGAGCCAAGATCGTGTGGCTGCACTCCAGCCTAAGCAACAGAGCGAGACTCCGTCTCAAAAACAAAAGGAACCAGGGCAGCCAGGTCAAAAGCGTTCTAGGTTTACAGGAGAAAATTATAAACAAATACTCCCAATACAGCTCCTGCTGAGTTTGCATAAGACCCTAGAATAAGAGAAATCTCGCTGCCATCTGCATTATTACCTAATTGCAAAACGATTACATCTTTACCTGTATCTCTCTATCCGCACTGTTTCTATATATATTCTGTCTTAGTCCACTTGCTGTTGCTATAACTGAATACCTAAGACTAGGTAATTAAAAAAAAAAAAAGAAATTTATTCATTCCCGTCCTAGAGGTCAAGGGACTACTCCTGGTGAGGTCCTGCTTGCTGGTGGGGACTTCTACAAAGTCTCAAGGTAGCACAGGGCATCACATGCCAAGGGGGCTAATGAGAGGGAGCAAAACAGGCTCTCATAACAGACCCACTCTCTATTCTTCTTAGATATTACTAAAAATTATTTGCTTAAATGTATGGAGTACAAGTGCAATTTTGTTACTACACATGCATAGACTGGACTTTGAGGGTATCCATCAGCCAAATAACATACGTTGCACCCATTAAGGAATTTCTCATCATCTACCATCTACTCCAACCCCCACCTGTCACCTTTCCAAGACTCCACTGTCTACCATTCCACTCTCTACATCCATGGTCACACATCATTCAGCTCCCACTTATAAACGTGAACATGTGGGATTGTTCTTTCTATATCTGACTTGTTTCACGTAAGACAGTAGCCTCCAATTCCATCCATGTTGCTGCAAAAAACAAGATTTCATTCTTTTTATGGCTGAATAGTATTCCACTGGGTACAGACGCCACATTTCCTCTATCCATTCATCCACTGATGGACTCTTAGGTTGATTCCATACCTTTGCTACTGTAGATAGTGCTGCAATAAACATGAGTACAGGTATCTTTTTGATATATGATTTCTTTTCCTGTGGGTAGATACCGAGTAGTAGGACTGCTGGATCGAATGGTAGTTCTATTTTTAGGACTCTGAAAAATCTACATACTGCTTTCCATGGAGGTTGTACTAATTCACATTCTCACCAACAGTGTATAAGCGTTTCCTTGACAATGTCTATTATTGTTTGACTTTTTAACAGCAGTCCTTCTAAGACAAGACGACATCTCGTTGTGGTTTTAATTTACACTTCTCTGATGATTAGTGATACTGGGCATTTTCTCATATGCCTGTTGACCATTTATATCTTCTTTCGAAAAATGTCTATTCATATCCTTTAAAGCCCAGTTTTTAATGGGGTTATTTTGTTGTTGTAAGTCGAGTGCTTATATATTCTGGATATTAGATCCTTGTCAGGTGCATATTTTGCAAATATTTTCTCCCATTCTGCAGGCTATCTGTTCATTCTGTTGATTATTTCTTTTGCTGTGCAGAAGCTCTTTAAGGCCCACTTGTCCAACTGTGGCCTGTGCTTCCGGGAATTCAACAATAATTGATTTGCCTACACCAATATCCAAAAGAGTCTTCCCCAGGTTTTCTCCTAATAGTTTTATAGTTTCAGGTCTTACTCTTGAGTTGATTTTGTATACAGTGAGAGACAGGAGTCTAGTTTCATTCTTCTACACAGGGCAATCCAACCTTCCCAGTACCATTTACTGAAAAGGATGTCTTTTCCCATTGTACGTTCTTGTCAACTTTGTCAAAGATCACTTGCTGTTCATATGTGGCCTTATTTCTGGGTTCTCTTTTGTTGTCTATTTTTATACCAGTAACATGCTGTTTTGGTTACCATATCCTTGTATAATTTGAAGTCAGGTAATGTAACATCTCCAGCTTTGCTCTTTCTGCTTAGAATTGCTTTGGCTATTCAGGCTCTTTTTTGGTTCCATATAAATTTTAGAACTGCGTTTTCTAATTCTGTGAAAAATTATGTTGGTATTTTGGTAGGGATTACATTGAATCTGTAGATTGCTTCAGACTGTGTGGTCATTTTAATGATATTAATTATTCCAATCCGAGAACATGGATGTTTTTCCGCTGGTGTGTGTCATCTACAATTTCTCTCATCAATGTTTTGTAGTTTTCCTTGTGGAACTCTTTCACTTCCTTGCTTCAATTTATACCTAGGTATTTTATTTTTGTAGTTGACGTAAGGTCGATGGCCTTGCTGGGAGCCGGACAGACAACACCCACCCCTCTTCATGCCTGATAACAGCTTATCGGCCAGTGCACATTACTCAGCATCTGGCTTCTCCAAGTGGGCTCTCCCTCACCCACTCCTGCACTCTGCCCCCAGGTCTATATTCAGCACTAAAATATGCATTTGAACCTCAGCACTAAACTATGCACTGTCGGCAATAAACCATGCATTTGGACCTCAGTACTAAATTATGCACTCTCAGCACTAAACTATACATTTGAACCCATGAAAATTTAAGAAATCCTGCCAAGCCTTACCCAATGGCAGCCCACCCCATACGTCCTTGGCCAGCCCACCTCTCAATAAGTCTCACCTCCTTACCTATTGCGGCTCACCCCGTCCGGGCCTTGTCTCCCTACGACCAATGAAACTGCCTATGCTTGGTTTCCCCAATATCCAATCAATTGCCTCTGACCCCCATAAAACCCCCTGCCCTGAGAAGTTAAGCGCGACTTCTTTGGCCCCATCCCGGACCATAGAACCTCACCCAGGAGCTGAATAAATTGGATTTTCATTTTCATATACTGGCCTCAGTTTCCTCATTTCGACTCACAGTATACCTTACAGTTATTACAAGTGGAACTACTTCCTTGATTTCTTTCTCAGCTATATCATTATTGGTGTACAGAAACACTACTGGGGGATCTGCGCTGCCGGGTGAAATTGTAGGCCAGCAAAGATGCTGCTGGAGTTGTCCGAGGAGCATAAGGAGCACCTGGCCTTCCTGCCTCAAGAGGACAGTGCGGTGGTCGCTGAGTTTGGGAGGACTGCTGTGGAATTCCTGAGGTGCTGCACAAACCCAAAAATCTACGAAGGCGCCGCCAGAAAACTCAATGTGAGTAGTGACACTGTCCAGCATGGTGTGGAAGGATTAACGTATCTCCTCACTGAGCGCTCAAAGCTCAAGACTTCTGAACTGGATTTTCAAGACTCTGTTTTTGTTCTGGGATTTCTGAAGAATTAAACAAATTGTTGCTTCAGCTTTATCTGGACAACAGAAAAGAGATCAGAACTATTCTCAGTGAATCGGCACCAAGTCTTCCCAGTTATCATAACCTTGAATGGCGACTAGATGAACAGCTTGCAAGCAGAAGTCTCAGGCAACAGATTAAACCAGCAGTGGCTATAAAGCTATACCTTAATCAAAATGGAGATCACGACACCAAAGTTCTACGAACAGACCCAGCCACCCTGCTCCATTTGGTTCAACAACTGGAACAAGCATTGGAAGAGATGAAGACAAACCACTATAGGAGAGTTGTTCGCAACATCAAGTAGCGCCAGTTTTAAGGCCCAAGTAGTTGCTGCCAACATGGGCAAGTTCATGAAACCTGGGAAGGTGGTGCTTGTCCTGGCTGGACGCTACTCTGGACGCAAAGCTGTCATCATGAACATTGATGATGGCCCCTCAGATCGCCCCTGTAGCCTGCACGCTGGTGGCTGGAATTGACCACTAACCCTGCAAAGTGATAGCTGCCATGGGCAAGAAGATCGCCAAGAGGTCAAAGATCAAGTCTTTTATGAAAGTTTATAACTACAATCACCTAATGCCCACAAGGTACTCTGTGGATATCCTCTTGGACAAAACTGTCATCAATAAGGATGTCTTCAGAGATCCTGCTCTTAAATGCAAGGCCCGACAGGAGGCCAAGGTCAAGTTTGAAGAGAGATACAAAATAGGCAAGAACAAGTGTTCTTGCAGAAGCTGCGGTTTTAGATGCTTTGTTATGGTCATTAAAAAATAAAAATAAAAATAAATAAATAAACAAAATTCATCTTCTCTTACCAAAAAAAAAAGAAATACTACTGATTTTTGTACATTAATTTTGTATCCTACAATGTTATTGAATTTATTTATCCAATCTAAGAGGTTTTTTGGTCAAGTCTTTAGATTTTTCCAGGTATAAGATCACATCTGGCCAGGGCGGTGGCTCATGCCTCCCAGCACTTTGGGAGGCCAAGGCAGGAAGATTGCTTGAGCCAAAAGTTTGAGACCAGCCTGGGCTACACTGTGAGACTCCATCTCCACAAAAAATTTAAACATTACCCAGGCTATGGTAGTATGCGCCTGCAGCCCTAGCTACTTGGGAGGCTGAGGTGGAAGGATCACCTGAGTCCAGGAGTTTGAGGTTACACTGACCTAGGATAGCACCACCGCGCTCCAGCATGGGTGACAGAGTGAGGCTTTCTTAAAAAAAAAAAAAAAAAAAAAAAAAGATCACGTCATCAGCAAAGCGAGATAATTTGACTTCCTCTTGTCTAATTTGTATGCCTTTTATTTATTCCTCTTGCTTGACTGCTCTGGCTAGGACTTCCAGTAATATGTTGAATAGGGGTGATGAGAGTGGGCAATCTTGTCTTGTTCCAGTTCTCAGAGGGAATGCTTCCAGCTCTTCCCCATTCAGTATGATGTTGGCTGTGGGTTTGTCATAGATGGCCTTTATTATTTTGAGCTATATTCCTTCTACAGCTTGTTTGTTGAGGGTTTTTATGGTGCTGAATTTTATCAACTGCTTTTTCTATGTTTATTGAGATGGTCATATGGTTTTTGTTCCTAATTCTGTTTATGGGATGTATCACATTTATTGATTTGCATATGTTGAACCACCCTTGCATCCCTGGCACATAACACATCATGGCATATTATCTTTTGGATGTGCTGCTGGAGTCAGTCTGCCAGTACTTTGTTAAGGATTTGTACATCTGTGTTCATCAGGGATACTGGTCTGTACTTTTGGTGGTGTGTCCTTGTCTGGTTTTGGTGCTGGGGTGATACTGGCCTCATAGAATGAGTTAGGGAGAACTCCCTCGTCTCCATTTTCTGGAACCATCTCAGGAGGACTGGCACTAGTTCTTTGTGGGTTTGGTAGAATCGAATCTACCTGGCCCTGGGCTTTTCTTTGTTAGGAGATGTTTTTGTTACTGATTCAATCTCACTGCTGGTTATTCAGAATCACCCCCTTGATAACTAATCCACTCCTATGACAACCCATCAAGCATGAATAGATTAATGGATTCTGCCATTTGTGAGGACACAGTCCCCATGACCCAACGATCGCCTCTTAAAGGCTCCACCTCCTAATACTGTCACACTGGGGATTAAGTTTCAACATGAGTTTCAGAGGGGACAAACATTCAAACCATAGCATATCCCTATTATGCAGCTTTTAATACATATATAATAAATTATAAAAGTAATCAAGTTTACTAATTTTTTATGCCAAGGTTCATAGCAAATACATCAAAATAAAACTTAAAATGCATTTCTGAACCAAGGAATCCTATCCTTTACCCTCCAAGCATGCATAAATCACCTTTCAGAAAACTCCTCCCAAGAAAATTCCCACTCTATTTGAACTCCAGCTACCAAAAATTCATTCATTTTCAATTTTTCTTCTTTGGCAGATTTTTTTAATAACTAGTTTAAAATATTTTGACCAAAGCACTAATTTCTTTTATATACAAAGAGCTCTTAATAATCAATAAGAAAAAGGCCTACAATCAGGTAGAATAATAGCCAAGGTACATGAATCAGGAGCAGACAATAAAAGAAATATTTATGGTCAATTAACATATAAAATTGCTCAATTGAAGAAATTAAAAAATACCATTTCTTTCCTCTCAGATTGACAAATAAATAAAACACTGATAAAACTCAAGAGCTACATGGGTGGGAGGAAAAGGGTCTCTTCTCAGCCGCCGAAGATGCTGGAAGGGAAGAAGGCCAAAGGGAAGGAGGTGGCTGGGGCCCCCGCCACCACACAGCCACAGGAGGCCAAGAAGGGTTAAGCAACGTCTGAAGAAAGGCCTAGGAATTTCTGCACTGGATAGGAAGTCCAGCCCTTACAGGGACCTCACCCACTTTGTCAAAGCCCTGCTGTACCCAGCTCAGCAGCAAAGGGCCCTCCTCCATAAGTGGCTGAAAGCATCTCCTGTGATTGACTGGTTCAGCCAGGCCTCAGGCCACCAGGCAGCCACCCAACACTGTACGCTGGCCCACAGTACCAACCAGAGACAAGCAACAGAAGAAGCAGACTGCCAACACTGGCACAGGGGATGTCCCCACTAAGAGACGGACCGTGTGTCCTTCCAGCAGAGGCTGATGCTGTCATGACCTTGGTGGAGAACAAGAAGGCTGGGCAGGTGGTGATCACACATAATGGGACCCCCACTGAGCTGGCTGTCTTCCTGCCTGCCCTGTGTCCTGAGACAGGGGTTCGCTACCACACTGTCCAGGGGAAAGCCTGACTAGGGCATCAATCCCACAGGACCAACAAGTCTGCACCACTGTCGTCTTGTCATCCTTCATGCCGGTTAACTAGGAAGACAAGGGGGCTCTAAGCTATCGGAAGCTAGCAGGACCCACGACAAAAGCTACAACAAGATCCACCATCACTGGGGAGGCTACACCCCTGGGACCTAAATCCGTGGCTTGCGTTGCCAAGCTGGAAAAGGCAAAAGCCACAGAACCTGCCACTAAACCGGATGAAATGAACACTGTTGAGTTTTCTATACATCAAAATAATATAAATTCTCCTTAAAAAAAAGCGGGGGGGTGGGCAGGCATAGTGGCTCATGCCTGTAATCCCAGCATTTTGGGAGGCCTAAGTGGGCAGATCACGAGGTCAAGAGATTGAGACAATCCTGGCCAACATTGTGAAATCCCATTTCTACTAAAAATACAAAAATTAGCTGGGCATGGTGGTACGCACCTGTAGTTCCAGCTACTCCAGAGGCTGAGGCAGAAGAATCGTTTGATCCCAGGAGGAGGAGGTTGCAGTGAGCCAAGATCATGCCACTGCACTCCAGCCTGGCGACAGAGTGAGACTTCATCTCAAAAAAAAAAAAAAAAAAAAAGGAGCAGGGGACATTCACACACTACTGACAAAAATTTAGACTAGAAAATCTCTTTGCTGGGCAATTTGGCAAAATTTAAAATGCTCATACACTTTTAAAAACAGCAAATCCACATCTAGGAACCTACCCAAAAGAAAACTCACATACATACAAAAATAGAACCCCAAGGATTGTTACTGCAATCCAGTTTATAATGAAATCTAGAAACAATCTAAGGTTGCCATCAACTGAAAACTGATTCAATAAAAAAATGGCACAGTTATATGACGTAATACCACATGGCCACCATCATGATTAAGACAAGAGTTTTTTTCGTGGATATACAACTATGTACATGAGAAATTGTTTTAGAAAAACATAACTCACAGCAGTATGTCATATGTATCTGCAATAAAAGGAAGGAAAAGAAAAGAATATCCAAGAGGTTGTGCGGACAGAGTAAATCCATGAAAAGGAAACAGGCTGCGTGCAGCTCCCCGTGGGGAGTGGGGCAGAGGCAGCAGCAGCGTCTAAGGCTTCTGCGTCTGTTATTTTACCTCTGGGTATATTATTATGAATAAATGGTAGAGAATGAGATATGAGCACCACCCCAACACACTGCACCATGAGAAATATAACTGCACCAACACGAGCGAGGCGCCGCGGCACCTTTCCCGGGAGAGGCCCCCCTGGCCTGGCACTTGCTCACCTGCCCACTTGCCCCTGGCTTGTCCTCCCAGTGAGGGGCACTCGCCGCCCTGGACAGCAGCCCGTGCTGCTCATGGCGTTGAGGCTTCTGTACTTTGCCTATTTCATGAGCGCTGTTTTCAGATGTAGTTGAGGTGATGCAGGTACCACTACCTCACTCAGATGTAACTCTCTGGTATTCCAGTACACCCATAAGGTATTTCTCCATTCTCCCATCCTTGGTCTTATTCTGAGTAAGACACGGTTTAGAAGGAACTCACCCTGTAAGTCCTCCCTTCTGTGGGCAGTGGTCCTCAAGTGCTGTGGTCTAAGGACTCCTGGGAATGCATAAAAATTACGGAGGACCTCAGGGCACCTTTATCTTTGTGGGTTTCAGCTACTGATGTTTCTCATACCAGAATTAAACTGAGGAATTTAAAAATAGGTATTCATTCATTTCAAAACTACACCAATCCTTTACACATCATAAATAACATATTTTCATTTTTAAAATTTCCAAAATCCATTATATGGAAATTTTAAGAATTTGGGTGCTATTACTCAACCAGATATTTTAATCAATTAACACACCTTTGCACCAGTTTGCAAAGACACAGAATTAAACACACTTGCCTTAAATAAAACACAAGGCGATGATTTTTGGTGACAGCAGCATTTCGAGAGCCTGAGTTCTCTTTGCGTCAACCCCTTTGTTAGTCACAGGCCTGAGTGTTTATCAGTTTGTGCTGTTACAGACATTCAGCCAAGACAAAGAGCAAACTACACGAAGGGAAAGCCATCCACTGACACGCATCATTTCATCCACTTCAAGAACCTCAGACCCTCGACAAGTCTACAAATACTCAGCTCCCATTCCTTGCTCCTCCCCAGAGGAGGGAGTTGACAAGGGCAAGTCGACTCCAGATCATCAGCTGTGTCGGTGTGCAGGAAGAGGTGGAAATGCTAAGCAACAGAGGGTCTGGCTCACACATCCTCCAGGCCCCCCAGGAGCAAGTGGCCACTGAGGGCAGAAACCTGGGCTGAGCTTGCAGACAGTGGGATGGGGATCGAGGCGGCAACGACAAAAGCATTGGGAAAGGACAGCAATGGAGAATCTAGGGGCAGTTTGGACACAGAACTAACTGTTGGCCTTAGAGACCAACTTGTGACTAGATGCAACACTGTATTGCTTCTAATAGTCAGCTTTCTTTTTTGCATACAGATTAAGAAAGGCTGGTGCCAGTAATTTAAAAGGGAACCAGTAATAACTGTGTAGAGAGAACACTGAAGATCCTTCTAGGCTAAGAGCGAGTGCCTAAGCCAAGGACACCATCAGCAGGCCCCCTCCCCGGGCCTGGGCCTCAGAGCATGCTGGACACACACACCTGAAGCCCACTGGAGAGAGGAGCTGACGGGGCTGTCCAAGCCAGAGCTGCTCCACAGCCACAGGAAACCCCGCCCTGGGGTGCAGGCAAGCCAAGGTGGGCTCAAAAGGAGAAGCTGGGGGGAAATGCCTTTGAGGGGTGTTGAAGAAGGGGGCCTACAGATGCCGTATAGCCAAATGGGCACTGTGCCAGGCACCACGGCATTTCCTCTCAGTGCCAAAACCACCCTGCCATGCCCACCTTCTGATCCTGGCACTGGGCCCTGAAGACCACGTGGCTCTCTTGCCCAGGGGCTTGGTGTTCAGCGCTGGGCACAGGCACTGCTTCCCAGGTGGTGTAGGGTGGACTGGTGTGCAAGGGTCCCACATCCTTTTTCCTGGGGACTGGGGACAGCCACCACGGGGCAGCCACCAATCCTCACCTAGGAGTTGTTTCGCTCTCTCACAGCTGCGATGGACTCACGGTCCTGTGAAATAAGGCCCCTACTCTGAGCATCTAAGTCTCTCCCACGTCCACTTGTCCAGACTCAGCCCCTTACGCATTGATGACTCTGGCCTTGTCTCTTCTGTCTTGGAGCAGCTAGCCATCTTTTCCTTTGTTAACAATTCTGTATACTGAATTTTTCGTGTTCAAATTACTGCTGTCTTTCCCGTCTTCTGGCCAGATCCTGACTGATTCCACCTGAGTTTGTGCACGTAAAGCCCTGAAGTCCCCATCACACTAAGAATTCAGAGTCACGTGAAGCTTGCTGCCTGACACGGCTACACCCTCCGGGGCCTCCTCTGCCCTTCCCCTCCCTGTGCCAACTCTGCTGCTTCTTCTAACTTCCAGGCACTTCCCGCATCCCTGCTTCCAGCAGAGGTGGGACCCTGGTGGCTGTGGATGGTCACGGCTGCCTTCAAAGCCCTGCAGACCTGCCAGGAGGGACGTGGCCACCTCATGACCCCTGGAAGCTTCTGCTGCTCTGACGGGGGAGGCCATGGAATCAGACTGACCTAAGTACGCAGGGAGGCCCACTTGGCAAAGAAAACAGCAACAGACAAACTTCAAGAGATTACAGGCAGAAACCCATAAACACCACACGTCACTACCTATTTATTTTTAAACGAACAGTGTGTTATCGCACACAATGAACACCACTCCAACTCACATACAGGAGTATCTCTGTGGGAAGCAACACGGAGTGCCAGGGCTATCTCATGTGCCCGGTGACTGTGGGCAAGTCGCCTGATAGCCTAACCTCAATCTCCTGGCCTGATGGCCTCAGGGTTCCTATCAAGGGAAGGATGCACTCTGCAAAGCAGTGACCTGCGCCGTTATTCCAACCCTGATGACATGCTGGCTCCCTTCTGCTCTGCTCCAGTGTGGATGGGAAAAGCCAGGACCCTCCTCTTCACTGCAAAGAAGCCCAAGGCTGGCATCATGACCCCACCTATCCCACCCCCCGTCACCTGCCCCAAGGAGCAGTCCATTCACTGGTGGGATGGGGACAACAGCATTATCTGTCTCTCAGGTTCCCTGAGGACCATAAGCACCACTGTCAATCATCTAAAGCAGCATCATGCTCCCCACCGTCCAGGTCACTTTGAACTTCAAGTAGAAAGCAGGTGAAGGTGCCCTGTAATCCACAAAGAACCACGTAAACACCAGTGAGCCTTCACTACAACACAGCAGTGGAGAAGGCATAGTTTTAATATGCATTCAAAGAGATGAAGAACCTCCTGATTCCAAAGAACATTTTCACCACTGCCTAGGGCCCTTCACCTCCCCATCCCTGCCCAATACAAAGAGCCCACACTGAGGCCGGCTCCCTGGCAGTGGTCCTGACCCAACGCCAACAGGCTCCATGCGGAAATGAGGTGAGTCCCGGGGGGTCAGGAGGGCACCTCCCTGAGAATCCAGCCCAGGGGTCAGATTAAGAGACAGGGAAAGATGGCAGCAGCACACACAGCTGCAGAACGACTCCTCTAAGAAGGAGGCCGAGGCTGGGCACAGCAGCTCACACCTGTCATCCCAGCACTCCGGGAGGCTGAGGCAAGAGCATCACTTGAGCACAGGAGTTCAAGACCAGCCTGGGAAACATGGCAATAATCTCATCTCTACAAAAAATATAAAAACTAGCCGGGCATGGCAGTGCGTGCCTGTAGTCCCAGCTACTCAGGAGGCTGAGGTGAGAAGATCACTTGGGCCCACAAGGCGGGGTCTACAGTGAGCTATGACTAAGCCACTGCACTCCTGCCTAGACAACGGAGCCAGACCCTGTCCTCGACCCCTGCAAAAAACAGGAGGTTGAAAATCCATATGATTACAAGTGTTTTAACAAAATTCTATGCTTAGATACATCAAAACGTTATCGGTGATCATTTTGAGGAGACAAAAACCAGAAATCTGTCCTTCATCCACTTTATATTTTTTTTCAGAGTCAGAGTCTCACTCTGTCACCCAGGCTAGAGTGCAGTGGCTACAACATAGCTCACAGCAGCCTTGAACTCCTGGGCTCAAGCGAGCCTCCTGCCTCAGCCTCCACAGCTGAGTTACAGGCGTGAGCCGCAGCATCTGTCTCCTTCCTCGTCTTTAAATGCTCTCAGGCACCATATTTCATCATGGAAAACACTAGTCCCAGGAAGGGGAAAAAGTAGAAATGTTCATCAAACACAGCTTCTCCTATACCCCAGCCCTGCCCACCCAGCCAGCAGCCTCGGAAGGTCTTCTTAGGATAGTCTCAGGATGTGAACAAACACAAAAAATGTGTCTTTACATCGTAAATGGTGCGAACAAAGGAAGCTAAGTGCTGAACCCCTCACCTGTCACAATGGCCCTGGCTCCAAACAGAACACCTGACAGCACAGACCCACACAGCAGCACCGCCTCCTGCTGGACAAAGTCCTTCCAGAGGGTTCCCTATTTTGCTCATTTTCTCTCTTTCCTGCTAGAAACAGCTCTCAAAGGAAGGCAGGGGCCCAAAAGGGATACTGATAGGTCCAGGTCTTTGGGGCAGCACTACACACCACGAGGTACCCCTCGGTGAGCAGGGGGCATGTGGCATCCCAAGCCCACTGCAAATTCCAGCTGACGTTTTCCACATCAACATATCCCTACGGAGGAAGTAGCATGAGGAACCAGCTCTCAGTGCTTCAAGAATATTCTCACCTCAAAAGGGATTTGGGCCACGGGGATGAAGATTCTGGGGTCAGACCTAAAACGGGCTTCAAGGGCCTTCAGGGACAGAGCAAGGGAGGAGCAGGAACGGGAGGAAGGGCCTTATTCTGAACTCTAAGACGACAACTTCCCTGTCGCCACCACCTATCCTGCCCAGATGTCCCGCCCGGGACCATCCATCAGAACCAGAACCAACACCAGAGACTCAAACAGGGCTGGGGGCCAGGGGTCCCAACAAGACACAGTCCACAGCCCAGAGGCAATGCAGACACGCTGTGACGGCCACAGAGGCCACAGGGCCAGCCAGAAGAAGCCAGGACCTGCACCTGGTGACTAGGAGTCACCTCCCTGTGGCTGCTAAGTTAGAGGCCAGGGCTCCATGCTAAGTGGCTCCTGGCAGGCTTACCTTTTTAACTTCCTTAGTCTTTCGAACATTTCTATGGGGACCAAAAATGTTTTGCATTCCAAAGGCCTTCCTGGACCACTCCCTCTTCGGGGCACTGCCCTCCACCCTATAGCGGTCCGCAGGGATCTTGCTCATGGGAGGGGGCAGTGTGCCACAGTTGACGCTGGACCAGCCATCAGTGGAATCCGTGTAAGACTCCTGGTCGCTGGCGTGTCCGCACTGCCACTCCCGGAGCACGTGGACTGGGAGCCAGCGCTGGTTGAAAGCAGAACTGGCACCCACAGTGCCCCTTTTGGAAGGGGGAACCGAGTTCCTCGAAGAAGTTGGGGGCAACTCCACAGGAGACGCCGGCCCCAGGTGCTTGCTCAGGTCTCGGAACCTATCAGTCTGATGAGCAGCCTCAAATGGGGGGCTCCCCTCGGGGTCCGGACAGAAGGGCCCAGTCCAGGGAATACCCCAGGGCTGGGCACCTCTCCCGCCCACACTGTCCCACGCGCTGCCTCCGGGGCCGTGCCTGCTCGAGCTCCCACCCAGGTCCACCACGAGGACCCGGTTGCTCTTCTCCTCCTGGTTGAAGTTCCCGATGCCGCTGTCACTGTTGCTGCTGGTGCTGTTGTTCTGCTGGGCATCGGCATCCCCGTCCAGAAAGGCACGGGCTCGCATGCCCTCAATCAGCTCGCCCATGTCTCGGTACAGGACGGAGATGAACTGCAGGACGGGGAGGGAGGACGCCGGGAACTCCAGACAGCCATTGGTGTCGGGGTCGGCCGTGCACTCAAACCCAAAGCGCCGAGCAATGCCTTGGTGGATCTTGTGATGAAACAAGTCTGGGTCCACCATGAACACATGGCAGGAAGTCCGCAGGGCGCCCTCTTCCTCGTGGGTCAGACTCCCGTCATCATTTGTCTGCATGGTCACCAACCCGAAAAACCGCCTGTCGTCCGGGCACACGGCACTGAAGGCCAGCTTCTCAGCCGGGTACTCGGCCACCACCCCGGCCTTGTCGGTGCCCAGCTGCACACAGTCATGCATGATCTTCATGGTCACCAGCGAGTGGATCTTCTGCTCTGCCCGCAAGCGCCGCATGCAGCCGCGGATGGCCTGCAGGCTGTCAGACTCCAGGTTGGAGCTCGTGGACGGAAGCTCAATGGAACCTAAGTAGCCCACGATCATGGCCACGTTTAAAATACTTGCATCCAATGCAAAGTCATCATGACCTTCGAGTCCAATACTGAAAACCGAATCATCATGAATAACTTTGGATATTTCCTCCTTAGAAAGCATGCTGGGGTTTGGGTTATTTACACTTTCATGTCCAACATCAAATCGCGCTGCGGCCGACTCCGAAAGGGATCTCTGTTTCAACCTCAAGGGCTCTGAACTGCTCGCACAGAGGCTCGGGTTTTCGAAAATCATATTGAAAATCCCCCCAGACTGCATTTCCTCCACAACTCGCTCTGCTCTGTTTATACCCAGTGCCTTTGAATCCAGCTTGGGCTTCAGCCAGCCTTTTCCTTCATACAGTCCCCCTTCTTCGTCACTGGAACAGGACTCGAAGTGGCCGATGCCTTCGGCAATCACCATGTGCAGGACGCCAGAGCACTTCCCAATCAGTTTCACTACATCTTCATGAGACGCTTTTTTCACGTTGATTTCATTGACTGCAAATATCTGGTCTCCAGCGCGGAGGCCCACGAAATCCGCAGGGCTCCCTCTCATGACACAGCTGAGCACACAGGGCGCCTGTCCCGAAAGCGTGAATCCATAGCCGGCCCTCCCCCGGGCGACCTCCACGCTCCGCACCCTCAGGGGCGCCGGCCCAGGCAATGGGCGCTTGGCCGCCTCCCCTGCTCTATACATTCTGATGAGCTTCCAAGACCAGGAACACGTCTCATTGTTCCCGCAGAGCCATATTTCAGGGAATGCTTGATGCTACCATGTCTTCTTCTTGGAACAGTACCCTAAGAAAGAAAAATGAAGAGCTCATTATTAAAGATTCCATATTTCTCCACTGCTCACTCACTGCTATTACCTAAACACGAAAAGATAATTCATAATAAAATTGCCACAGAAAGAGCCTCTAAGTGTCTATATGCAATAAATCTTAAAGGCAGGCTAAGAAACTTCCTTTCGGAGTAGACAATGTCTCCCTCAACTGCCACCTTCTTACTGCACCAGTTCCGGCCAGGCCAACCCGCCACGGGCGTGAGGGTGCAGGGCTGCTTCTCGGCACTGCTTCCACACCCTGTTTTGATAGAAGAGCCCCTTGCTACTCAAAGTGTGGTCCATGGACTGGTAACCTGTCTGAAAGGCAGACTTTCAGACTCCATGCAGAACAAGCACACTCAAACCCACATTTCACAGGATGTCAGAGTCCCAGTGTGAGAAGCAAGGCCTGCCTGC